GCCCAAGGTCGAGGGCCTTTACCCACCCCCAGAGCTGGCACTCTGAACTTGGATTTCTAGCCTCCTAAACTGTAGGGAGCTCTGGTAGCATGGTGGCTAAAGCACTTGACTGCTCACCAGAAGGCTGGCGGTTCAAACCCACCAGCCACTCCTCGGAAGGAAGGTTGGGCAATCCTACTTCCGTAGTGATACTGCTTCGGAAACCCAAGGAGGGGTCGCTATGAGTCAGGGCTGACTCCACGGCGCATAACAACAACAACAACAAACTGTAAGTGGTGGAGTATGTATGTGTCGCATACCATGTGTTTCTGTGTTTCTGTTTAAATGAATGGATGTTGTGTATTGTAATATATGTGTCCATTGGGTGTCTCTGTGGTTTTAGTGGAATGTGCGTTTCATTTGCATTGAGTTTCTGTGTCTGTGTCTTGTGTGTGTGTGTTGCAGGGTGTGCATCCCCCTCTATGTCCTGTGCCTCTTGTGGTGTCAGTGACTTTGGAGGTCACTGTCTGTGTCTCTGTGTGTATGTTACACAGTGTCTATGTGTGTGTGTGGCTGGCTATTGTGGTGTAAACGTGTGTGATGTAAGATGCATCTCCGTCTTGTGTTTCTTTGGGTTAGACGTGTGTGTGTCTAAGCATGAGTGTGTCTTTGTTTTTTTATGCTTTTTTGGAAGATGTGTTTTTCCTTCAAGTTTTCTGGGTAGAACGTGTGTCTGTGCCACAGGCTGTGTGTCCGTCTTGTTGTTTCTGCATACAGTGGAGGCGGTGGTACTATGTGTGTGTGTTGAGGGGTCTGCCTTGATGTTTCTGTGGGTCCAGGAGAGTGTGTATGTACTTCCAGGATGCATATCTATTTATCCTCTGTTTCTGGTGGTGGTGGTGGTGGTGGTATGTGTGTGTCTGTGTGTTGAGGGTTTGACTCTGTTCTGTGGGTCTGGGAGAGTGTGTATGGACTCGCAGGATGTGTATCTATTTATTCTCTGTTTCTGGTAGCGTGCGTGTGCATGTGTGCATGTATGTGTGTTGAGGGGTTTGCCTTGATGTTTCTGTGGGTCTGGAAGAGTGTGTACTTGCAGTGTGTGCTATTTATCCTGTTTCTGGTGGTGGTGGTGTGTATATGTATGTGTGCATGTGTGTTGCACATAGTAACTCTTATCGATGAAACTGTACAGCAGCTGCAGTGTATGTGTTTACCTAAGTCTGGTTGTCTGTGTGTGCTCATTGCCGTGTGCATTTCATGGTGTTTCTGTAGTTCTTTCAGTGTGGGTGTTTATGTATATGTTGTGTATATGTGGGGTGGATGTGTGTGCATGTTTTGTGCAGGGTGTTATGTTTTCTATGTTTCTGTGGTTGTGGTGGTGGTGTGTGTGTGTGCGCATAGTGTGTTTGAGTAGCGTGTCACTCCACATGAGGCTGTTGTGTTGCATTTGTGTGTTGCAGGGTGAACATCTTGCTTGGTACAAAGAACATCTTTCTTTGTATTTCATGGTGTGTGTGTGTCCCTCTAGGTTAGTTAGGGTGTGTGGTGGTGTGTCTGTTATGGTGTTCTTGTGTGTCCTGCTGGACTGTGTGTGTGTGTGTGTGTTGCAGGGTCTATCTGCGTGTGTTTCTTTAAGCTTGGTAGTGTGTGTGTATGTGTGCCAAACCTTTGTTTCCATCACGCTGTGTCTGTTGCGTTGTTTGTGGTTTCAGTGTTGTGTGTGTTTCAGTTTGCACAGGTTTTTCTGTGACTCGATGGGGTGTGTGTGTGCTGATGAATGTGCACCCATCTTGTTCTTTTGTGGTGTTTGTGGTTTACTGCAAGGCATGTGTTTGTACCATGTTTAGATTTCCACGGAACGTGGTTGTGTGGAGTGTCTGTCACTGTAAGTCCATGTGTGTCACAGAGTCTTTGTCTGTGTCACTATAAGCTTGGTGGTGTGTGTCCCATGTGTGGAGTGTGTGTGTCTTGGTGATTCTGCAGGCTTGCCTGTGTGTGTGTTGCATGTTTCTCTGGTTCCGGTGGTTTGTGTGTTTCACACTGTCGTGGTTGTGTGTCTGCTGGTACCTGTGCTTCTGAGTGGATTTGATGGGCGCCTGGCAGGGTGGGTACCTTGATGGTACTGTGAGTCCGGTTGTGCATGGTTTGCAGTGTGTGTGTTACCGGGTGTGTGTGTCTGGTGGTATGTGTGTTGTGGTTGTAGAGTGGACGTCTTCTGTGAGTCTGGTGACGTGTGTGTCCCTGTGTGCCATGTGCTGTGACCCCGTTTGAAGCCAGGCTGTGCTCGGCCCTCCTCTGTCCTCACATTCCTCTGGCTCCTTTGTGCTACAAAAATATTTGCGTTTTCCACGACTCATAATTTTTTCTCCTCAATCGCTACCAGATGTGGGTCCTGTGGTCCCCGTCCCCATGGCAACGGGCGTTCCAGCAGCCATGGTTCCCTTTTGTGGCGCCTGCTCCGGGGAGCTGGCACTGCCGGGAGGCCAAGGGGGTGTGGAGGGAGCGAGGGGGATGCATCCAGGACTCAGGAAGGTTGAGGGTCCCAGTAGCTCCCTCCTCAAGCAGCCTGGCCTCCCACGGCATGGTGCACATGGGGCAGGCAACAGAGGCGAGAGATACCTAAGCTCTGAGGCACTTCCACAGAAGGGCTCCTGAAGGTGGGGGCCCGGGTCCCTCACGAGGCTCACAGGGCAGGGGAGGAGGACAGGCCCCGGAAAGGCAGTCGTTGGGATGTCCTGGGTCTCCCTATGCCCTGCTGGTCCAAGCTGGGGGAGGGAGGGAATCCCGGTGCTGGGGGCCGGGCAGTCAGGGGCAGCAGTGTGGTGGCACGGTGGTGCTGGGGGGCACCTGGACCACTGCAGTGCTCACGTCCCACCCACAGCCACCGTCCCACCTCTGCTGGGCCCCAGAGTGTCTGCCCCTCCTGGCCAACTCTGAGCCTGTGTTCTTGCCCCAGCAGCCAGCATGGTGTGGTGCGTGGCTAGGACGACTCCCGCTGGCCTAAGGTAGCCACGAGGCCCTGGGACGGGAGCTGCTGCGTTCCACATGCTGTCTGAGCAGGCTGGCCACAGGCGCTCAGCTGTGCCCCTGAGCCACTTTTGATACACACCATGATGCTCTCTCTAACCAGGGGACTGACTGTGGCCCTGCGTGGGTGACCCACGTTTATCTCAATGAGGTTCCCAGCCAGAGGGTGAAGGGGCCAGGGTGAGCCCCTGAATGCTGGCTGACAACTGCCCCCAGCTTTGGTCGGACTGCAGTGCCACAGTGAGTGCGGCAGGGCGGGGTGGGGTAACTTGTCAGACTCAGACTTTGAGCTGAACATCCAAAGATGGAGGAGAGACCAAAGGAAAGGTGGGAAATGCGACCAGATAGATGGATGCAGCTGTTGAAACTTAGCGGAGGGGACAGTCTCAAAAGAGCCAAAACAGTTGCCTTGAAGTTGACTCTCACCCATAGCGACCCCACTATATTTCCAATGGCTGGTGTGTTCATAAATAGATCACGAGGCCAGTCTTCCCAGGTGCTTCTGGGTGGACTCAAACTTACAACCTTTGAGTTACCGTTCGCATCACCCAGGGACTTCCAGGGCCCAGAGCTAGCGTCTGAAAGGGCCTGTGGCTTAGGAAAGTCACTCAAGAGGCCTGGCTTGAGGAGGCTGGCATGATAAACCGGAGGGGTCTGGTGAGGCCCCGGCAGCAGGAGAGGGCTGGCTGAGGCCTGGCCGGGCGGCTCCCCCTCCCTCCACCCCGCCTGGCAGCGGCCGCCAGTCAGGCCTGTGCTAACAGTTTCCGGCTGAGGACAACGAACCCATTGAGGCTGACAGCGGGGTTCTGTGTGGCGGCAGCCCGTCCTGTTTGTGCCGGACGAGGCGCGGCTGGAGGTGCGCCTGCAGCCCACTGCCCCCTGGCCCCAGCCTCCGACCTGCCCAGCCACACCACACAGCTCTCCTCTCCCAATGGAACAGCAGTGGTCGCTCCGGAAGGAAGGCACAGTTCGGAGGCAAGCCCCAAGGGCTGCCCCCATCCACCCAGGGTCTCTCGGTCATCCGCCCTGCGTCCCAAGGGCCAGCCCAAGATGGGGCTGATCCCAGTGAGGGCTCCATAAACCTGGAACGGAATGAATGATGGACCCGGCCCACGTTCCACGTGGTCCTGGAAGACCCGCACCTGCGCCCCCCCCAAGGCCCCAGTTAGTCCGAGAGTCTTGGGAGTGCAGGTCGGGAGAGTCACGTGCAATTTCTTCTGGGGACATCCTTGCCAGGCACAGAGCAGACTTGTGCAAAAGAAAAAGGCACTTTTATTAAGAAAGCTTTGGCGGAGCCCCTACCGAGAGGAGCCCATCCGGGATTACCCGGGTAGAGCAGGGCAGCCTTACCGGGGGCCACTGGGATTGGCCCTCGGATGCCCACGGTGGGTGTGGGGAGGCCATCAAAACCAGCTTGACAGCAGAGACAGGGGCTGGGGCCGCAAGCTAGGGAAGGGCAGTGGGCTGAGCCTGGAGGCGCGGAGATCCCGGAAGAGCAGAGACCAGCCCTCCTCTCAAGATTCCGATTGGGTCCGGCCAGTGGAAGTAGCCTCATCCCACCGCCAAGGAAAGCTGCCTCCAGCCAAAGGCGCCAGGCCCTGGCCAATGAGGGGCAGCCAGGCAAGAAGGGCTTCTGACCCAACCAATGAGAAGGTAGCACAGCTGTGCAGGACTGACCAATAAGAGATGGTCTCTAGGCGCAATACTCCTGGCCTCGACCAGTGAGACACGGACAAATGGAAGCACAACGCAACTCCGCCAATGGGGAGTTGCCAGCTAAGCGTTAAGCGCCTGACAGGCCTCAACCAATCGGATGGGCCTTCCCGCCAGCGCGCAATGCTCCAGCCACGAAGGCGCCACCAGGGCCAGAGCCAATAGGACGCAGCCTCCTGCGCGCCACTCCAGCCGGCGGCAGCCACGGGCGCAGATGTGGGTGGCGGCAGCAGTGCTGCGAAGCCGGGGAGAAACTGCGGGCGTTGCTGGGTGACGTCTTGCTACAGGGTGGGCGCTCCCGCCCTCATCAGCTCGCCCGCCGCCTCCCGGCTCTTCTTGCGCGGCGGCTTCTGGATGGGCGTCTTCTTCCGGGGGGTCTCGGGCGCGGGTGCACCGACCGCTTTCTCCGGCCCTGGTGCCTCGGGTGAGGGGGGCGTGCGCGCCGGAGAGGCAGGCAGCACTGAGCGCTTGGCCTTCTGTGGTGGCGCCGGCTTCTCCCGGGAGCCCTGCGCGCCCAGGGCCCCCTCGGCGCGGCCCAGGCTGCGAGTCTTGCCGCGCAGCTCAGCGGCCAGCATGGAG